CCCCAAAACCCCAAAACCCCAAAACCCCAAAACCCCTTTATAATAAATAGATTAAAAAACAAAAACATAAACTATTAGCAAATCAAAATTCGTTAAAGGATTTTTATATAATTGATGTATTATTAGCAAATTTATTTATTAAAAATAAGCACTGGATCATAAATGGTAGAATAAGTTGCAAATTAGGAGAGGTAATATCTTGACCCTAACTTATATTACTCAGATTCAAATCCTCCAACACAATTAGATAATCATTTCATATGCCCCATTTGTTTACACGTCGTAATTGATCCAGTACAATGCAAAAAATGTGAAAAAGTTTATTGTAGAAAATGCGTGCATTAAGGTATGTAATGCGCTAATAGATGTGGATGTTCTAAATATGTAAATCTAGGTCGTTTTGCAATGAATACTTTAAATGATAGTAGGTTTAAATGTAAATTCGAGAAATGCAAAGTTGTCTTGCAATATTCTTAGATCTTAAATCATATCAAGAATTGTATCTAAGGGTGTATTCATAATCATTGCAATTAACTTAAAGAATAATTAAGAAATAAGGACATATAGCTAGAGGAATAAAAATAAGAGATAATAACTTTTGGAAAAAATAACGAAGAGAAAAATAAATTAATTGAAAGAAAAAATAAAGAAATCGATGATCAAGCTCTAATCATTAATGCGTTAAATCAAGAAAAAGGAAGATAACAAATAGAAATTAATAGATTAACTTCTACTATAAAGCAGCATGAATAAAAAATTCAAAATTTAACTCAAATAAAGGAGGTTTTAAATACATTCAATTAAGAATAAGAAAATACGTAAAGGGAAAATTTAAATGAGGTTAAAACTCTAACAAAATAGATAGAAGAATAAAAATATTAGATTGAGAAAAAAAACAAAGAGTAATTAGTTATTAATGAATTAATAAAATCAAGAAATGCAGAGTTAGATGACCTTAATTCTAGAGTTAAAAATTAAGAGATATAACTAGAAGAAAAATAAACTAGGCTAGTTTCTCTTTAAAAAAAGAATCTTGAAATATTGGAAGAACATACAATTACATGCCAAAAATTATAATTATAATTCTCGAAGAAAGAAAATTAGATGACATCTGAGATGTAAAACCTACAATCTTAAATATTAGTAATGTAGAAATAGTTAAAAAAGGCATTTGGAAAAAAATTTGCTGATCCAAGTATTATTATGTGCCCAAGCAATCACCAATTAAAAATGAAGGATAGCATTCCTACTGTAAAGTAAACTATAGTTGCTTGTGATATTTGTCATAAGGATCAAATTGATAAGCATTTGATTTACTTTAAATGTGAATCAAGCTGCAATTATGACATATGCTCAAGTTGCTACATTTTACATTTATTTGGACTAAATACAGTAATTGAATATATTAAAATGGGTGTAGACAGAAACTTTGAAAGAGTTTAATAAGGGTTACCAATTGAGCATATTAGTGTGCTTTCAATAATTTAATAATTGAAGAAATTTTGAAATATTCCTTTGAGGAATATACTACCACTAAAGCAGAAATTAATTTTATGATCTATTAGATTTTTATTTTGAGAAAATATTGATTTTTGATAAAATAGATTTTATTTAAAAATTATATTCAATCAATTGGGGTTTTGGGGTTTTGGGGTTTTGGGG